TGACCTTATTGACCTTATTGACCTTATTGACCTTATTGACCTTATTGACCTTATTGACCTTATTGACCATTTCGGGGCTTGGCGCTTCTTTCGGAGACTCCGTGTCGCTCTGTGGTGACACCTGCGGCCGCGTGGAGCGCTGGCGTGGGCGCGTAGCCTCGGTGACCGGCGCGAGCTCTGGCATCGGCGCCGCTATCACCGCCCAGCTTCAGGACGCAGGGCTCGTCGTCATTTGCCTGGCTCGACGAGAGGGGTAGATCCCGGTGGATGGGGGGCTTTCAGATGAAGACTTTAATCCCATTCAGCATCTTCATTAGTGAAGAAAGTTGAATGATTATTATTATTATTATTATTATTATTATTATTATTATTATTATTATTATTATTATTATTATTATTATTATTTATTTTATTTCCTCATTTCATTGGTACATTTAAATGGATTATTGTATAGATTTACAAAATCAATGCACAATACATCTATGTTTAAAAGGATTCGTACTACATCATTTCCCATGAATTTCTGGACTATCCTGGTTGTTGAGATAATTACTGCTTTCTGCATAAGTTTGTTCATGTCTTCCTTCAAACCTAGCTGCTTGAGATTCCGTTTCAGACACTTAAGGATGACTCCGGTGCTTTAACAATTATCGGGACGATGTTGGCTTTCCATATTCCACTGTTTCTTAACGGATTCAACAAGATATGTATATTTACTCATTTTCTCAGTGTATTGACTTTCAATATTACCTGTATTTGGGATAGAAACATCAACAAGCATGACATATCTTTCACACTTGTTAATCACCACCAAATCTGGTCTGTTGTGAATCATTGTCTGGTCCGTTAAGATAGTTCTATCCCAATACAAGCGCCACTCTTCGTTCTCCAGTACACTCACAGGTTGATACTTAAAGTACGGTACCTTTTCTTCAGTCAGAAGACAACATTTCTGAGCCAACGCTTGATATAAAATTTTGGCAACTGTATCGTGTCGTTTATATTCAGTGCCTACTAGATGTGTACAACCTGAGGTTGTATTGATTCAACAGTTGGACAATCATAAAGTCATGAATCGTTCTGCACATTTCCATCTTTAACAATACAACAATATTATTATTACTATTATTATTCCTGTACTTCCCAACATAAGATGTTAAGAATCGATTGGATTTTAAATCTACTCCACGTTTAAACCAGCTTCCTAAGGAGCAGATCTAGAGACTGTCTGTTCGTCTTCAACACTTTGCGCAAAATGTGGGCTGTTCCAAATAAAGCAATATCTTGCACGTCCTAGTTTTTTGAATGTTCTGGAAGTCTAGCCAAGTTCTTACACAAATTTTACGGAACAAATCCCTGAGCTCTGATAACTATCGGGACGACCCGTGCTTTTACGCCCCACAATACGAGATGCCACATGTGAGCCCTTTCGGTATTTCCTTTGGGTTTTCTCGAATTTTATTAACGGCCTTTGCTAGATGAGACTATAATGCTGATAATTTCTTAAACGAATAAATCTGGATCTTATGAATCCCGGAGGATTTCCAGTTTCCCATGTTCTTAATTGCTTGGTAGATGTCCTCTTTCGAGAATTCCTCAATGATGCAGGAGATTCGAATGGAAGTTGACGAATTCTTTCTATCTCGCGTTGAAGGAGATTTCGCATCATCGTGTGATTCATACCCTGATGAATCTTCACCATTGACTGATGTTTCATTGGGAAGACATGAACCTTCATCACAACCATAGTTTTCAGGGATATCTGTCTAAAAGTTGGTCATGTGGTAGTTCGATCGAAGAACATACTCCGTATTTCTCTGAATGTCAGCAAGTTGTTCTGTTGTGAATTTTCCACTGCTGAGTATGTATCGTCGTGACTGGCAAGCTTCTTTGAATCTAAGGTATATCTCATATTTTTTTCTCTCTCTACAGACCTTCAGAAATTTTATTTCTGAACCTTAATTTTTTTGCCTTTGCATAGTAAAAGTACTACACTGCATTGTCAGTTACTGCTTGACCTGCTGACGACATTGCTTCTGGTTATGTGCATGCATTCCTTTTGTCAGTGCGTTCGTTTGCAAATGGCTTCATCACTATCTCTTGCAATTTCATGGCCCTGCACGGCGTTTATTGGGTTGCGACCAGCCCAAATGGTCCCTTCTTAGAGTAACTCCCCAGTACCCGTTGGCTCCTTGGTCAACGGACACAGCTTCCCCCTGCTCTTAAGACCCTTTCACAAAGCAAACATAAACATAAGAATAATGCATAGACGTAAAACATTAACATAAGTAATAGACTGAAGTATTCACAATGTCAAACATGTACATAAGCAAAATAAGAGTTTCTATAGGCTGTGAGACATTCTAGTTGGTTGGACGTGAGAATCGATTTCGAAGTATGGACTGTGTCCATGGTCCTTACAGCGATAGTTCGTCTAACGACTTCGCCCCTATTTCGATTCTCGATTTTGTGTTACCGTTCTGTGATTGGTTCATTTTTTATGTCGTACTTAAGCATAAGCACAGAAGCTTGAAGCTTGTAAGCTTTTAAGTTAACGTCTTACGTGTTATGCTTATGCGAACGCATTGCGAATGAGTCCGCTTATGAACGTAGTTCTAACGTTTATGTTAACGCCATGCTTATGTTTATGTTTGCACTGTGAATGGGTCTTTATGGTGCCTTTGCTACGCACGGGCTGCACTCTGGCGTCTTCTGCTGGAACTGGGAGTGCGCGGGCCAATTACGCGATTTAAATGTAGTTTCACTTCAAGATCACGAGCTGGAAGGAGAGGGGGGCACAGACTTTCAATCCAATCAATTAATACCAAAAATTTAAGTCGTGGCGGTTTGTATATTTCAAAACAATTATGGAAATAACGGAGTAACCAATTATTGTGCAATGCACAAACCGGTTACCACAACATTTAGAAAAAGTGCAATGTGTTTGACTCATGCTGACATGCAGAATCCAATACACTTGTGCACTCCGTAGAACTGCTCAGGATGTATCTGAAGCTCCCAAACTCAGAACGCTCATAGTGACTGCTATTTCGTGACTCTCGAAATAACTGTATTTCTGAACGCCTAATATAGTTAATTAAATGGTAAAATAAATCCATTACTATTTTGTTTACGTTATCCCGCTTTACTGAAAGAGATTTGTTTAGAGCATTCCAACATGAATATTTTTTAAAATACTGATATTAGTCACGAAGTTACCTATTGTTTAGAATTTACGATTTTGGCTTTATAGTTGGTCTCTTATTTAATAGGTAAAAATGTTTCAAAGGACTCCATGAAAACACACGAATAATTCATTCTTTTAATTGATATTGGTTGTAAGCACATATCGTCACCATTATCTGCGTTTGGGTGTACAGATAAATTATCTTGACACTGTCCAACTTATTTTTCCGTGTGATGTTAAAAATAATTTTAAAAATATATCGTGACATTGCAAGTTCAAATTAATGCATTTTCACCGATGTATATTCCAGCTAGATTACATTACGTCGCTAAATCAAATGACAAACGAATCCATTTTAAGTAGTCCAATATTTACAACGATCGTTCAGATTCAGCACGTTATTTTATCGTAGACAAACAATTTCACTGATTCTTATATGATCAATAGCATTTATGATTGCCCAATTATTAACATTAATGAAGATTCGTGCATTCATGAAGGTACAAGTAAACAATTAACAGCAAATTCTATTTTTGTTTATTAAGATTTTCTCTTTTACACCTCTTACGTCTTTCATTAGAACTGATCCAAAATTGCGCTTTTTTTCCGCTAGAGGTAAATTATGCGGAGTCATTCTGATATAGCGGAACCGGCTTTAAAAACATCAACTCACAACGTGATGCAATCGAGAGCATAACATCTGTCCCAGCCGGTGGTGTCGTATAAAAGGAGCTCAGCGCTGTTGAGTTTATCATTAGTACGTGAGACTCGCACTAGAGATAACATGTCGCAACTGGCTGGACGTGTCGCCGTGGTGACGGGCGCAAGCGCGGGAATAGGCGCTGCCATCGCCTACCAGCTGCAAGACGCCGGCGTCAATGTGGTAGCTCTAGCAAGAAGGAAGGAGAAGATTCAGGTTGGCACTATGAATAAATATATTAATAAACCTAAATCAAACAAATTAATATGTTTATTGATGGGGAGGATCAGGGCATTGGCGGACTTCCCACTTTCGAAAGTGGGAAATACAATACATAATAATTAATAACAACATTTATTAACGAAGTTATAAATGAATTTAAAAATAATTAGAAATATATCTTGTCAACAAAATGCTTGAAACTATGAAAAGTTTAGAACTTCAAGGTTAAACAAAAAGGATACAACTTCTTTTACATTCAGAATAAATTCAGTATCACTTATAGTAGTTTATAATATTAGGGAATAATTTATGGGTGACTGAAAATCGGAGCTATATGAGCAAGCGCAAAATATTAATATCATTATGGTATACCGTTATTTATTACGTTTGCGAAAATTTCTTCAATTTTGTTCACTTAACTGTATCATTCTAAAACAATTTGCATTATATTTCAAAATATTTCGATGACGTTGTGTTGAGAGTAAATCTATGTAGCATTACTTTTAATATCGCCAACATCCTCCGGAATCATATTATAACATAACATTATTTTTAAGGTATTCGAATGCAACAGGCAAATGACAACTTACCTTAAAAAATTGCTGAACGGCGTTCGGCGTACAGATTCTGCTTTCATAAATACATTGTTAGCATTGATATATCTATAGAGAGTTCGTTTCTTCTTAATGTGTGTCGTAGGTAACGTTAAAAAATTGGGCATGTAATTAGTTGGTGAAGTAAGTGTTGAAAGAAGTGGCGGAAATTTTAGTTGTACGGTACATAAGTTACAAACTAATGATAATTCCATAAACAAATTATAATTGGAGGTATCCGTCAGAAATACAAGGAAACCTGTGCTAAGTTGAATTTCGAGGTAGTTTACACAATCGGTATGAACTTTATACAGCTCATTGCTTGAAAGCTATGACAGCTTATTGCTTTAAAGCTGTAATGTCGCTAATGGCTGAAACTATGAACGCAATTCTGTCGGGAAGTTAGAGTATATTTAAAAAAACCATTACTATCGATGCACTTTTTCACAATCTTCAATAAGACAGTAATTCATTAACCTATTACCTCCCATATCGCCAATCACACTTCATCTGTGTGATTCTATTGTACTCTCAGGCGGCTGTAGATCAGGCGAGGAAGGACGCGCAAAGCCGCGGGAGAACTTCCATCGGGAAGGTTGCCAGCCCTGGGAAGCTCCACGCGCTCAAGTGCGACATCACCCAGGAAGAGGACATCGTCAACACCTTCAAGTGGATCAAGGATAACCTCGGCGTCGCTCATATTGTGGTGAACAACGCGGGGTTGGGAGACAGTACCCCATTGGACGGTAAGCTACGACAGATCTCGTCAGGGTTATTATTTTGATAATTTTCATATTCCTAACTTTAAAATAGATGTATTAAATTAATAAATATAAAAAGTGGTGCTTCAAGAGGACGAAATTTCTATCATTATTTCTAACTTTTGTCGGACCTTGGTAACAAAAAATTAGATTAATCTTGTTTATATGTGTGGTAAATTATTCCAACGTTTGATTTTGATTTGATTTTTGAGGGTACTTTACATGATGCCTTAAAAACATTTCCAAACTTTTCTCAAAAAGGCTCCAATGTTTTATTAAACTTTGTTATAGGATAGGATAAACGCACTTAAGAGAATGGCGCAGAACTTATTCTCGTTGAAATCTCTCACTTTTCGGAAATTGCGAAAGTTTATTTTTTCGGTGTCTCCCCACAACTACAATATTGAAGATAAAGATTTTTACTGAATGAAAGCTGTTCTTTAAAGACTGGTTTTAAAATAAGGTTACGCACAATTTTTCGAAAACATGATTAGTTTTAACGTAATTTTTTGCGTAACATTTTTTTTCAACATTTTTTTTCTTCAAAATGGTTTCAATTTTTTTTTTAAATTTCTCCTTGTATTTCTTAAAATATGGTAAAAATGGTGGCGCTATTCTCATTTTCGGCAAATGCTCAGTATTTTTGAAAATTGGAAAAAAATTACAATTCAAAACTTTAAGACAGAGCTTTTTGCCTGAAATAAAATCTATTCTAAAAAATCAACAAAAGGTAAAGTAAATCTAAAAAAAAAACGAGTTGTTGTTGTCCATTTTGATGTGCTGGAAATTAATGCAATTTATGAAAAAATGTTTCTCAAAACCCGATCCAGTTATTTTCTTTAATTTTTCCTTCCGCAGATACAACAAGCAACGCTAAAAAATTGCACAGGTCGTATTTTCGTTAAACTCTCTGAATATTGGAAATTTGCAAATTTAGAAATAATGCGAGAAAGTATGTGAAGTAGTAGCACAACTAGTTTTTAAATTGCATTAACTCCAAGTAGAAATTACTCGAAAAATGCTCATTTTGCCAAATTGTAAATTATCTACAATTGTTTGAGCAGGTTCGTTAAAGAAAACAATTTGTACTCTCAGTATTGTAGTTTTGAAATTTTAAACTTTTGCAAAGTTTCAAAAATACTGTATCTATGTCATTTTTTAAGATTCTATTACTCTCTTCGAGGAAAAAATTAAGAAAAAGCAGGCCCTTGAGTTTTTTTCAGTTCTATTGGGCAATATCAGTTTTGGAGAAGAATGTCTTAAGCGCTTGCGTCGACCACAAAGGGACGCTAAACAAAAACAAAAAAAAACAAAACAAAAAACAAAACAAAACAGAAGTTTTGCTTTTAATCATTTGTTGGATATCAAGGACCCACAAAACGTGGATTTTGACCACACAAAGTGTTAGAGAATGTAATTTAATATTAATATTAACACGATCTATCAACTTTTACGATACCACGGCCCCACATTATGAGTTCTTCTGATGTAAATTCTTCGCTTTCTGCTGAAGCATTACAATATCTTCCCTTTACTACGTAAGTAGTTAAACGAAAAAGTAAAAATGATGAAAAATGTCATCTTTCCAAACATTTCAGTATAAAAATAGACTTTTTGTAACATTTCCTTTTAGTTCAGTTTTAAGAGAACTGTCTAATAAAATACATGAAACAATTTCTATAATTGGTATTTATTGGTTGTGTTGAAAATGTGTTTTCTAGAAAACAACACTGCCCGATGGCAGCGTGTTTTTGACACAAACGTCCTGGGCCTGAGCATTTGCACGAGGGAGGCAATTCAGCTCATGAAGGCCAAAGGAGTTGATGATGGCCACATCGTCCACATTGGGAGGTAAAAAGATAACGATCAAAAACTTTATTAATTTGGGTTTAGAAATAGTAAAAAAATTAGCGTACAGGAAATTTATTGAAATATACGAAGATTAATCGAGTGTTGATGTAGAGATAATATATAATTTATTATTTATTATTATTATTATTAATTATTATTATATTATTATTGCGCAATATTATTATTTGCTCTAAGTATTGTAAAATAACCCAGTTGCAAGGTCTGCAGCTTAGGGAAGCTGGTTACAAAACTACCGTTCATTTTCTTTATCCAACTCCCAAAAATATTTTGTCGTGGATCATATAAATATTCAAATAGCAGTCATAGATACTTGTCACACCGTACCCAAAATTTTGAAAAAGAAATAATTGCGCTTCAATGTGAATTTGAAAAAAGTGAGTTCATTTCTAGGTGGATTGAGTAACAAAGATCAGAGATCTTCCAGTTAATTAGCTGAGGAACGTAATAATAATAATAATAATAATAATAATAATAATAATAATAATAATAATAATAATGACGCTTGTAAAAACTGAAGTTTTATTACACGGCGAATTATATGTAGGCGAGCTAGGCAATGGTTTCCGCTTCGGAGGGAGCCATCGGCCGAAAGTCGATGAGGTACAAGCTGTGTAAACAGAATGTTATTGACCCCAGAGCGATTATTCAAGTGACGACACGGAGCAATTTCTTCTTCATTTTCGCACTCATCTGAAAGTATTCTTGTCCATTTTCTAAATTCAAAACACGGACATTTTAAAAAAAGTTTAAAATAAAGTTTGATTTTGTTCAATTACGAAACAGTTACGACTTTTTACCGGCTAAAGAGCTCCTCCAAGTCTCTATGTCCTGGTGTTTAAATGCGTCTCAGCCATATTTATTGGTAAGTGATCAATCAAAAATATTTCATAAGAATTTTCGCTTATGTTAACTTTTCTCGTGAAGATATATATATATATATATATATATATATATATATATATATATATATATATATATATATATATATATTGTGTACAAAAAAGCGAAAAAATAATGTAAACTTCTGTTTTCATAAGAATTTCTATCGGGCATGCTTTCGGTATTTGTTTAAATATTCAGTTATCATAACTGCGAGCATGTTTCGCTCTATTTAAATTCACGAACTATTATTTGTTTCTTCTGCGAGTAGAATAAAATCAAACTAAGGGAGTGGTTGACGCCATAAAGTACATTATTAGTAGGACGAACGTACTTTACTTTCATACCATAGAAAGGTTGGAAACCCAGACAATTAAAAGATTAAATCAAAGTTTTATTTCTTTTGAAGTCAAGTTGGACACAAAATTGTGAGCTTTCCCGGAATCTTCATGTACTCCGCTTCCAAGCACGCAGTCCGAGTCCTTACTGAAGGGCTGCGCAAGGAGCTGGTAGCAGCAAAGAGTAAAATTCGAGTGACGGTGAGTCAAACAAAACTTTCAATAGCCAGTTGTTCCTAACAATAATGTATGAAATAAATTTGATCATGTGAAGGAATTAATTAATTTATTCTGAATTTAAGTATTTGTATCATATTATCGATGTATTATTTTAATTCTAAGATAGAGTATTATTGTTCTTGAGTTTTTCCATGTAATGGTTTTAAATATTTTAATTATCCAATTACAACACTTTTATACATGTTTAGTAACCCTGAATACTTAATATAATTCAACTCACACCACCAACATTTACTAACGAAATTATCACTCATAAAAAAGTTTCCAGGAAGTGACCAAATTTATTTAAATGGGTTTGGACTTAATCTAGCATGAAGTTATCATGGTTAATGCTATATTTTTCTGTTGTTATTCCCTTTGTTATCATCCCAACGAAAACGCATGTAGTCATTGTATGATTTTAATCGAAATTGTGTTTCCAATGCGAAATTAGGACTAGCCACACACATGACCCTCATTCTTTGAGTAAAAGTGAGTGATTCAGTACCAGAGTTGCCTAACTCTCGAAGCCGCGAAGTCCCTTATTACTATAAAGAGTATGGCTCTCAATGATGCTCTTTTAGTGCCATAATTCTTTATCCATGTGAATGAATGAATGAGTGAATGATGGTCTTAAACTGACAGTTTGAGCCAATAAACCAATCATTTATTCACAAGGATTAAATATTTGGTACTTATACAACAGTTCAGAGCAATGCTTTAGAAGAGCTCTCACAACCTAGTGAGTTTGTCAACTCTGGCCCTGATCTACTTAAATGGGGTTTTGTCAATGATTCGTGAGCAGAATAAGAGAAAATAAACACATGCCTCCATTCGCAAGTTGTAAACAAAAGTACTACGCTTAAAATTCTGCTTAAAACAAGACGTCATTAGATCATCATCCTCTCTCTAGATAGAACTATTTGCCTTGGAAATACTGTATTTCCAATACATTGCCCTTAGATTGTTAACTGACATCCAAATTAATTTCTAACCGCTCTTCTAAGGAGGTGAGCCCAGGATTTGTGGAATCTGAGTTTGTTAACGATGGGGTGATAAGCGAGAAGACACTGCAGCAATTTGGCCTCAAAGAACCGAAGGATCTGTACAACATAATGCCTCACCTGAGATCCGAAGACGTGGCTGATGCTGTTCTGTATGCCGTTTCTACGCCCTCGCATGTCCAGGTAAGCAATAGAGCCCGTATGTTTATGCCATAGAGTGGAAAGAAATACATCATTTGAGAATATACTCGGAAACCAAGACCTAACATACGTTCTGTTCAGTTATTATAAGGTATCCAGTGTTGACAAAATGTAAAAAAACATAATAGAAAACTACAGTTTTAAATAGCGTTTTAGTGAAGAAGAAAACAAATCATTTCATTATATATATATATATATATATATATTTTACACTGTTCCTCGATTACATCAGGCCGATATTTTTACTTTCACATTTTTTTTACTTTTACAGGCGGTTTGCATTTTGGGGTTTGAAAGTTTACAGCGATTATTTTCGTCTCCAGACTTCTTTGCAGATCTGCCTTTGCTATCGAGAATTGATGTATCTTATCAAGTAGTTCAACCTGTAACGAATTGATATTAATATCTATTATCAGTTGAAAACCAGAAATGCTATGATGTAACGTGTAATTACGATTTTCCCCCTAAATTTCTGATACAAATTTGCCGAAAATTTTGAAAGCATGATATCCGTCCGTGAGGCTTAATAGAAAGAAAATGAATTCAAGTTGATATACAATATGACACATATTATTTCAAAATGTAATAAAGAGAAATATAATAAGACGAAAGACCAAAATGTTATTAAATTAAAATTAACAAAAATACGCTCAACATATATTTTCAAGAATACTCTACAAATGGGCTACATCGAACTTGCGGTGCTACGACATGACATACCATTTAAAACGGTTTCGTAAAATAATAATCATTATATCGCAAGTTATGTATGGTCTTTTAATGTTGAAGTTATTGTGTGGAAATATACAGAAAAAATTAATTTTAAATGCGTTTTCTCGACAGAATATTAGACATCGTATTGCTGAGAAGATTGCAATATCTAGACCTCCGTATATTATAGTGTGAATGGTAATGTGAACTTTATAAATTTAAAAATTAAATCAGCACGATCAAGGAAAATATACAAAAAATAAACATTTATATATCTTTCTTATTTAAAATACTCGTCCAATCAACTGTAGAGACGGCTAATCAATGATCATTCTTATATGTTGCAGTCAATTCATTTACTTCTATTTAATTCTTCAGGTGCTTGAGATATATATCAAACACCAGCAACAGCCTAATTCATATAAAACACATATTTATGTATTAAATCAGACATTCGTTGGCATTTAACTTTCTCTCACTTGATGTTTCTTTCGCATGATGAGTTACACTTTGCATAATATTTTCTTCATTTGTTTCAGATCCACAATATCCTTTTGGCCGCAGTCGGCGAAACTAGTTAGACGCATATTTTATTATTCTGTATTTAAGGACGGATTGTATTATATTCAATAAAGTTAATTTAATGTACTTTCTTTACTTTTGTTTCATTCAGACGCAAAAATATTGCGTCACATATACGAATATGTTTAGTAACGTCCCTTTAAAATATATGTGTCTTGCATTATTAGAATTCAAGTGAAAATGAGTGGTGCTGCGACTGACGAATCATACTGGATTCTTCGTTGACCCTTCGATGCGCATTTTTGAGTTGATGAAGCTCCAGCCATCACCATTAGCCGTTTGCTTAAAACAATCTTGACTTTCTGCCGAGTATAATTTTCATCGTATTTTATGCCAAACTATGTCTCCCTAACACACACGACGCCTCGCACTGGGACAATTATATTTCTTTTTCCAGCATCCTGCGGCTAATTTACAAGTTAACAGGATGATCCATGCAACGTCCTTCATACAGCTTTATACAAATAGTCTGGTTAATCTCTGAATCAACCGGCTAATTAGAGTATTAGACATATTTCGGTCTTGAGCAGTAAATGGCAGCTCCGACAGCACCGGTTGCCGAACTTCACAACCAAGTCCCGTGGACTCAATGAAGTGAAGTAGCTCGTGTCACCGCGGCGTTCCCGGATGGGGGACGGTCTGGGAAACCTGGATACTAACGGCGCTTAGTCAACAGGAATAAATTGCAATGATTGACTTGACATGATTTGAGACTGACTTTATTTGTCCAAGGAGAATTACTCATCGCATGGGAGCGAGTTTTCCGCGACCGGCACCAGTAACTATTTGGTTATCCGAAATTTTGCTGCCTCCTAGGCACATATCAACGTCATGTCAACGTTTCGGCCATCAGACTGCGCGCTTTCGCAAGGCAAAATGAACTTAGTTACTAATAACTGGAGACTGGAGGTTTTAGCATTATTTTATGTAAAACAGACACGCAAATATCATTTAACTAAAATAAGTATGCAAAAATGCATTTATTCCAGTGAAAGTGGGAATGCAAATTGGAGCGTAAGCAATGAAAAACCACATATAAAAGGAATTAGAGTAAAAAATAATAATTAAAATGATTGACATTTTTATTCTTACTCTAAAATCTGCACCAGCATTTAAAAGTGTAAGGAAAATATATTTTTTTGCAATCTTAATCCACATGAACATTCTGTTCGATGGCTTTGAATTTGTTTTACTCGCGATGCTGTCTCTTCGAAGTGCTAACTCTCATTTGAATTTTGAAATGTCATCTGTGAAAACGAAATTATATTTTTCGTTCTTCGCGCTGGTGTAATCTTCAGCACTGAGAAGGATATATCATACACACACACACACACACACACACACACACACACACACACACAGAGAGAGAGAGAGAGATAGAGATAGAGATAGAGATAGAGATAGAGATAGAGATAGAGATAGAGATAGAGATAGAGATAGATAGTTCTCAAAAGGGATCGGATGCCATTCTCAAAAGTAGGATGGGATTCCTCATGAACGAACAAAGCCTGTCGGCATTAACTGGTTGATCGGTTGACTGGTATAATCTTCCTTTTTAATTTAGATTTTCTATCCAGCCTC